ACGTTTCCCAGCGAGTAAGAAAGCAGGAAGCCCTCGGAGAAGGGGCTTGTTTGCATCTTTGTGGCTGCAGCATGACATTGGGAGAAATAGTATCTCCCGTTAACTATGCAATTGGCTTTAGCAAACATGTCTATTCTCCCAGCCTGCTCACTGGCAGGGCAGATTTTTACATTCCGAGCTAACTCGTCCTTCCTCACTCCTCTGTAACGCCATGCCCACTCCTATTTTATTGTGTCTCTGAACTCAACCCCATGCCTGTCCTCAGTCCTTCACAGTTTCATGATTTTATGCTTGTGGTTCTTCGAGTGATCTGTGGGGCCCTCGGGTCCTCAAGAACACCTAGTCCCTTCCTGAGGAGCACTTCTCCCAGCAGATGCCGGGGAACGGACAGGAGGGAGCGCGAGTTCCAGAGCCCTCCTGCTTCCAGAAGCCCTACTGGAGGCAGTCTTGATTCTTCCTGGATGGGGCCAGGTACCTCGGGCCAGACTACCAATAATGTCAGAACAGCCAGGCATTTAGGAGCTATGGATACCCAGGTAAAAATAACCCACTGATCATTCTAGAGCGGACAGCTGAAAGTTACTCCTACACATATTTCGAATACCATATTGGTGCCTGGAGCACTTCACAGCTGCATTTTTTTTTAAGATATTATTTTATTTATTTATTTGACAGAGACACAGAGAGACAGCACAGATAGGCAGAGCGGCAGGGAGAGGAAGAAGCAGGGAGCACGATGCAGGGCTCGATCCCAGGACCCCGGGATCATGACCTGAGCCGAAGGCAGACGCTCAACGACTGAGCCACCCAGGCGCCCCTCATAACTGCGTTCTTGACAGGTGAGCTGAAGTATCCAGGGGAAAGTGCACTGATGTCTGCCACTTACTTTAAAAGGCATGAAACAAAAAAATAAGTAAGGATTGAAATACACAAGTGAGAATGAATGGAAGGATAGATTATAACAAAGTAAGCAACAGTCCAGAGCTGGTCTGGCTCCTCAGAGATACATCCATACGCAGCCCCCCACCCCGCCCCCACAGTGGCCTCCGGAGACTTCTGCTCACTTCTCGGTGGGACGTGGGGGCAAGTGCAGAGTTCGGGCTCCAAATCCACCTGGGAGCACTCCTGGCTGGTCCCTAGGAACTGCCTCTACCGCCTTCCAACTGTTTCTGTGATGCCTTTGAGAAAGAGAGGTTTTCCTCCAAGAAGAACTCCTCCTGACCCTATGGTATCAGGTCAAGAACTTCCTTGTGTTGCTCCAGAGGGTCTGAGCAGGGAAGGCGAAGGGCAGGGTCAGGAAGGAGAAGAAAACGTCCCCGCGGTGACTGGCACCCAGCGCTTTGGGTTCAGTTGTGTTCCCGATAGCTTCTATGGCCCTCCAGGTGCACACTGCTGTAGGCCCGGGGGGCTGACCTCCAGGCTCTCCCACCAAAGGCCCCCAGGCCCCCTCCTGCAGCTGGACAAGTGGTGTTCATGACCTCGGCAGAAGGGGAACCTGTGCAGGTGGAAACTAGGGGGTGTCTCTGGAAGAAGGTGTCCGAGGGGACTTGGCATAGAGTTTGGGCTTGTGTTAGGGAATTTGGGGGAGGGCTCATGGAAGCGGGGCTTTGCTCTAGACAGGATGCTGCCGGGGAGGTGGGGAGGTGTCATTCTTTATGGGGTTAGGGGTTAGGTCTTAATAGGTCTGGTGTAGGAGGAAGACTATCTATGGAGGCTACAGCTGGAACTGGTGAAGGTTCAGCAGTCTGTCGAAGCCTCTCTCCCAGGGCGATGTTTGGTCCCCGCTGCGGTGTGGACGTGTTTTCCTCCATGTTCATACACAGTTGCTGAGTGGTCTTGTGCTCATCTCGATCCATCATAGTGACAAATGCTCTTGCCTGATGTTGCTGTCCTGTGAAATTGCTTATGTTCAACAGAAGACTGAGACCGGGCCAATGTCCGGGTGTTGAGGGTTGCATTTTTCCTTCTCAGGGCACCGTCTTGACCTGTGGCTTCTGGCTGGGGTTGGTCCATGGGGAGCCATAGCAGATGCTAGAAGAGGGAGAGAGGAGAGAGAAATCTGGGTACTTATTCCCCGGGGGGCTCTCTCCCCACGGGGCCACCTGTAACTGGCTACACATTCCCCTTCAAAGGTCAAAGCTCCTCTTAAGAGAGCCCTCTCTACACGACTCTGTTCTTTTAGGTCTTCAAAACAGCCACTTTTCCTCCTCTCCTTGGGGTTAAGGGTGGGTGGTAACCCCGGGGTTCCTGGCCCCAGGGTAGAGCTCTAGCCCACATTTTGTAAACAGCTCCAGAGGGAAACCCTTCCTGAATTATCCAAGGTGAGTGTGCTGTCTGATACCTGTTGAGAGCCTCCCCAGGACAGGAGGCTCCCCAGAATGCAGGCTCCTTGATCCTTCTACAGCGCTGGGCTCTGATAGAACTTGTATTGGAATGAAGCGTTATGAAGATGGCAGGATCCTTCTGGAGCGCATGGCTGAGTCCCCAGCCCCAAAGCAGAACTTTGTGCAGCCACAGCGTCTGCGAGCCTGAAAAGGGCTCTGGGGCAGACTCTCCTGTGTCACCCGAGTTCCCTCCCGGGCCGGGAGAAGACAGGCAGTATGTGCACAGCAGGTCAGGCCCTGGGCAGCCTCGGGACAGCACGCTGAGCCGGGCTACTGAGCGGACCATGTACGTTCTCCACGGCTGACTCGGGCCTTTGGCCTCACAGTGAATGTGGGGCACGGAGCAGCAATCCTGAGCCTCCTCACTCCAGAGAAGCTTCTTTCCCCCACAGAGCTGCTCGGGCCAGAGTCTGTGACAGGGGATGAGAATTGGTCAATGTTAGACCGTTAAGCAAAGACAAAATGATAAAAATGGGAAAAAAATATAGACAAGTCATATCTTAGAGAAAGAGCTAATCTCCGTAAAATAGAAAACAACCCAGGAGAAAAATGAGTAAAGGAATTATTAGTTCATAGAAATTATTAGTTCATAAAAAAGGAAATAACACATGAAAGCTTCTCAGTAGAGAACCAGGTACATACGTCAGAGTGCCCTTCTCCAGGAAAGATCATTCTCACTGTTGGATACAGTGCTTGGTAAAATTTCTACCTAATTCCATCTCTTCATTCAGGTTCTCCAAAAGCTGACTTTTGAGTCGAGGACTTGGGTGCACGTGGTCTACTTGGGAAGTGACCCCAGGAAACCCAAGTTCAGAAACAAATAAAGGGAAAAAGTCAACTAAGTGAAAAGTGGCAGAAAGGGTATGTTAGCTAGTTGGTTACTGTCTGGGCAACTGGGCCCAATCCCACCCTGTACTCTCAGAACCCTCCTGGCAGGGGTGGGTGCCTGGGCCCCGTATGCACAGCCCCCATCCCCCTTTGGGTTAAGGCTGCCCCTAGAGTGGCCAACTCCCCTGCCCTCCCAGGTTGGGCCACCTGTATGCGAAGGAGCAAGCATCATCAGTGTTAGAGAAAGCTCTCAGACGGAGAAGAAGTAGGCACCTGGGAACTTGTCACCTGGCAGGAAACTATCTACCTGAACTGGGCCAAGGGCACATGGGATTGCACATTGACAGCGTTCTTTACGAGGCTCCGCCTGGAGAATGTAGAGAATGCCTGGTAAGGTCTGTCAGCAGCCCCCTCCACGCCATCCGTGCAGCAGCCATGAGTTCCATCTTCCAATACGTGTCCACATTCCGTGGCCCCGCGGCCCACCCCCCGACGACCAGCGACTGGATCTGGTCCCCACACCCCACCCAGGCCAGGCCGGAGGGCAAGCTTTGCACGTTTTGGCGGAATGGCCCAGCACTGTGTCACCAGTCACACCCTAGCAGGTATGCCTGGGAGGTTCGGGAGGGCAGTTTTCATGCACAGTGTGGTGCGGAGAAGCCAAGGTGGGTGATCTGGCGGGAGAGCGACTGAAGCAGATGTATGGACGGACTGCGTTGGGGCGTGGCCTCCCACTTAGCTTTCTCACTCAGGCGCTGAACAACAGCCGAGTGCAGAGCCCAGGCTGGGCCTTGTAAGGGAGAGAGAGGAATCACAGAGGGCAAGCATCTGCTCCCGGGGAGCACAGACTCCGGTCCCTGGGAAGATGGACTCATGTCACCTCGGCAGCAAGAACGCGGGACAGGCTGGAGTACCGGGCAGAGCCTGCGAGTCGGAGGGGTCTGAGAACACGGCCTACTGGGAACGTGTGGAGTTGTTCTGGGAGGACGGAGACATGAAGGCTAGGCGGGGCCCCAGAGGCAGAAATGGAGAGCGACGGCGGGGAGGGGTGGGGGGGTGCGGGCCTCGGGACTTCGAGCCCTGGGATGCAAGGCCGTGCAGTTTTGAAGTGAATCAGAAGCGATCTGGAAGCCTCCCGGGGAAGCATGTAGGCACTTGGGGAAATACTAAGAAATGTGCGTTGGAAGATTATCCTAGAAGCTATAGAGTGGCCGGATTGGGGTCTGGGAGGGGCGCTGTGTGGGTGTAGGGGGTGTTGGGCTCAGCCAGACCACCCACCACCGGCAGACCATGAAGCCCACGGGAAAGCCTTTGCTGGCTGCCGTCTTCCAGCCCCCACTGGAACGCGCCTCCCTGTCCTCAGTGCCTGTCACTGAGCCGTTTCGGAATGGACGACGGCGTCCATAAAGGCGGCTGCCGCTGCTGTCTTGCTTCGTTCTTTACCAGCCCCTCCCTCTCCCGCGCCCCCACTACGGCCCCCACAAGCCCCGTAGCTGGAACAGATTCTTCTGGCTCGGGAAGTAAGGCCGCTTATGTTTCCCTCATCGCCTCCCCACCCCCAACTCCAGCCACTACACACTCATCCGTCTACACACAGAGGCCGCTCCGGGAGTTAGCCTGCTTCTGAAAATGAGAAAAAAGGACATTTTAAACGTCCAGAGATAATCGCAAGAAGCTACACGCCGCTGTGCGATTTTAAACTTTGTGTGTATTCTGCCTGGTGACTGGTGAGTAAGTAGGCTCAGGGATGCCATTGGCTGGTTGACCCACAGCCGGCCAATCCTGGGCTCTAGGCCATTCTTTGGCATCTAAGGACTCTGTGGTCACAGTGGACCCGGTGCCGGGTCCCGCGGCCGCGCACGCCGCGCACGCCGCGACTAATGCGAGGCGAAGAAAAGGTTTTTTTCTCCGCTTTCAGAACGTTTTGTTCTCCGATTGTGATTATGAGATTAGAGAGAAGAAGGACAACAGGAAAATCTTCATTTGAGCGTCAGAGGAGATAAAACGCAGAAGTGAATTCGAGAAGGTAGGAAAGGGAGGGTCGCGCGAGGCCTCCGGGACAGGGGTGGGGCGGTAGGTGGGAAGTGAGACGGTGGAAGGCAGGGTCCCCGGGAGAGGGCCGGCTCTCCACGGCTGCCCTCACCTCCCTGCGCTCTGCAGGATTCCAAGGGAGGATGGGGAGGCGGGGCGAGGAAGGGTATGGAAAAAGATCGAGTGACACCTGCAGACACTCAACTCTGGCCAGAGAAGTGAGCCGGGGAGGGCGGAAAGCTGCTTCCCGGATCATCGCCTGCGGCTTATCCGCGGAGTGTTTAAGGAGTCAGTCTACCGGGAGAGGAAGGGCGCTGCTCATCACAGAAGTTGGGGCACTGAGGACCCCAGTGCGGATCACAGGAAAGTTTGACTTCGGTCAGAGCTGGCGCCAAATTTCTCCTCGTCTGTACCCCCAGGCGTCGTGTCGCTGACTCTCCCGGGAGCCGCGCGTTTGGCTCAGATGGCGCCAGAGGCTGACCTGCGCGTGTCGGCGCCCCGCTCGCTTCTGTCCTTCGCGCTCCTCAGCTGCTCTGCGCTGCCCTCAGGTAGGGGCGCCTGCCTCCAGCTCCTGCCGGCCCTTCGGACGGCAAAGATCAGCACTTCAGTCTGCAGAGCGGGAGAGTGAAGTCCTGCGGCGGGGGTCCCGCGGCTCGGGTCCCGCGGCTCGCACTCTGCACGCGCTCTCCGAATGTAGACCGGCGCGGAGAAACCCAGTGAGGGCCACAGAGGCGGGCTGCGCATACACTTTTAAGTTCTCCAGTAGCTACCTTTAAAATAGCAGAAAGAAACAGATGGAATAAATTTTAACAATGCATTTTGTTTAACCCCAAATAACCAGAATATTGTTATTTAAACTTTGAATTGATGTAAAATATGAACAGTGAGATGTTTGACATTTTTTATTCTAACAGTTCCAAATGGTGTGTATTTTACATTTACGGCACATTCCAGTGGGGACTAGTTCGTGGCTGGTGGTACCATAACGGACCCCTCAAGTGTATCCTACCCTCCAGGCCCTGCGCTAGATCGGGGGGATAGAGGGAAAATCTCTGTAAGGCCAGGGTCAGCACGAGGTCCTCAGTATGTGCTTTTTAATAAGTGTTAGCCGTTTCAGTCGATCCCCCCACCAGCTGTCCGTGGCTGCCCACCAACCCCAGCTACCGGCCCCCAACAGGTCAGCTCAGGAAGCCCCTGTGGCCTTAGAAAGATTACTTCTGTCCCCCGGAATATCTTTCCTGCCTTAGATCTCTGATGGCCGCGCCGTCTGATTCTGCTCCTTTGTTGAACAGCCCAGTTTACTGTCGTGGGGCCAGCTGACCCAGTCCTGGCCATGGTGGGAGAAGACACCATGTTCCACTGCCACCTTTCGCCCGAGAAGGACGCGCAGCGCATGGAGGTGCGCTGGTTCCGCGCGCAGTTCTCCCGGGCGGTGCTCGTGTCTAAGGGCGGACGAGAGAAAACGGAGGAGCAGATGGAGGAGTACCGGGGAAGGACCACCTTTGTGAGCGAACGCATCAACACCGGGAGCGTAGCGCTCGTCATCCGCAACGTCACAGCCCACGACCACGGCATCTACCACTGTTACTTCCAAGAAGGCAGATCCTACGACGAGGCCATCGTGCGCCTGATGGTGGCAGGTGTGTCCTTTCATTTTGCTGGGTTGCTTTTCCGGGTGACCCTTAGAAAAGTTTCTCTCCTAACCTCAGGCCCACTGCAGCCCAGCAGATTTTAAAACAGGGAAGGTGGCGGGGCGCCTGGGTGCCTCATCGGTGAAGCGTCTGCCTGCGGCTCAGGTCATGATCCCGGGGTCCTGGCTCATTTCTCAGCCGGAGCCTGCTTCTCTCTCTCCCTCTGCCTGCTGATCCCTCTGCGTGTGCTCGCTCTCTCCCTCTCTCGGTGTCAAATAAAATATTAAAAAGAAATAAACAGGGAAGGTGGCTTCCTCCTGCCCAAGGACCAAATGAGTGGGCTTGCCCTGCCAGGCTGTGGGCATCAATTCCTGAGAAGCGCACACAGAGCTCCGCTGTAGCCTTTAACTGCTACAGATAATTCTCATGCCTACTTAGAGATCTCCAAGGGTCTTGCTCAGCGACTTGCTTTAGAATTAGACACTTTCATTGTGAATTATAATACACATCCAGAAAAACTTATAAAACATTAATGTACAGATTACTGAATCACTATGAACTGTAACCCATGTGACCACTACTCATATCAACAAATAGAACACTGCCTTCTCCTGACAAAATACCACAGACCAGCTTAAACATCAGAAATGTATTTTCTCACGGTTCTGGAGGAAGATCAGGCTTCTCCTGAGGTTTCTCTCCTTGGCTTGCTGATGCTCAGTTTCTCGCTGTGTCTTCACATGGCCTTTTCTCTGTGTGGACACATCCTGGGTATCTTTCTCTGTATGTACTGGTATCTTCTTCACGTCCTAAGGTACTGGAGGTTAGGAATGGAGGGGGGCATAATTCAGTTCATAATATGCCCATTCTCAAATTTCCCAATTGAAGCATGTTCCTAGAAGTGCTGTATAATGAGAAATATTTCTCTTCCTCTTTTTAAAAAAAAAATATTTTATTTGGGCACATGGGTGGCTCATTCGGTCAAGCATCTGCCTTCAGCTCAGGTCATGATCCCAGCGTCCTGGGATGGAGCCCCGTGGTGGGCTTCCTGCTCTGCGGGAAGCCCGCTTCTCCCTCTCCCGCTCCCCCTGCTTGTGTTCCTGCTCTC